ATATTAAATATATTAAAATTCTGATTAAATTATATATTAAAATAAAAATTTCTAACTGAGAGTAACATGGTTACAGATTTGAATCTTTGTTCTCAGCTAAAAGCGTATTATATTTAAGTCAGCTAAATTTTTGCTTAAAGAAGCTTTTAACTCTCTTTGGAGCAACAACAAGATCTCATCCCAATGACGAGATCGATAAAACAGTAACAACCAAATTATACAAAATAGAGGAATTCGAACTGCTTACAGAGATTGATACAGTAAATATATTCAAGCTGCTGGAGTTCGTTAAAACTTCGAAACTTACTCATAAATTACAAGGATTTGTCGAGCAATATGGCAATAGCATAAAAATCAATGAACAGAAAATAAAGAAATCCGGTATTACGGAATTTCTAAACTCAATTAAAAACAAAGATACATTATCTCAAGGAACCGCCAGTAACGCGGATATAGTGGAAAATAATGAAGAACAAACGAGCAATCCATTAATGGCAATTTTGAACTTCCTAGAGTGCCTGAAAAGCAGATGCATGGACGGCAGAATATGCGTTTTACCTGGTGCCAATATCGGGCAAGGGATTATAAAATTTTTATTGTTAAACCCAGCGACACATTTTCACGATATTGGTACATGCATTGAATACTTATTTAAGTCACATATACTTCTCATTTTATTTTTACTCTTATATTTTTTATAAAACTCATAGTGAGAGATGCCAGATCGGTGATACTGGCTGGTGGCACAATGGAACCCATGTCTGAATTCATAGATCAACTGTTCCTAATGGCAGGGGCAATGCCGGGTAGAATTATGACATTTTCGTGCGATCATGTAATTCCCAAAGAAAATATTCTATCCAACGTCATGATACGTGGTCCAACTGGAGTTGAATTCGAATTTAATTTTCATAATCGGCAAGATATAAAATTGGTAATAAAGTTCTTCATTTTCCTTATATTTAGAAAAATAAATCTAAAAAATATTTGTGTCTACATATACATGTATGTAAGTCCTGAGAGGTGAAAGTTAATTACAAATTATTAAGAATGGCACTTTGTTTCAGCTGGATGAATTAGGTAGAGCTCTATTAAATATATGTAACATTGTACCAGCTGGAATTGTAGTATTCTTCCCATCTTACAGCTATGAAGACATAGTATTCAAGCATTTAGATAAATCTGGCATTGCATCAAAAATTTCTGTAAAAAAACGTATCTACCGTGAACCTAAATTAGCATCACAAGTAATTTATTTTGTTATATTAATGGTTGATATTAATATTTATGCTTGACATTATGTAAAAACATGTTATTTATTTTATATTATAAAATGTAGGTCAATGTAATATTAGATCAATACGCACATTCCATCAAGAATCCACAATCTCCGTGTAATGGATCATTGTTGTTTAGTGTAGTTGGTAAGTATAAATTAAAGAATTATATATTATATAAAAATAATTTGTGCATATTTTTTGTCATCAATAAAGACAAATTCTTCAAGCAATTTGCTAATTTTACATAACATATTGCAGGTGGTAAATTAAGCGAAGGTTTAAACTTTTCTGATGATTTGGGTAGATGTATTATAGTCGTTGGCTTGCCATATCCTAATATCAAATCACCGGAATTGCAAGAGAAGATGAAATACTTAAATGAACATGTGGTTTGTATCACTTTAAGTAGAATTCAAGAATTTGTTATTATAGCTTAGCGTAATGTTTTAACATCTTTCATTTTACTTTTTATCTCTGTTTAGAAACCGGACGCTGGAAGCACTTTTTACGAGAACTCGTGCATGAAAGCGGTGAACCAATGTATCGGCCGATCTGTTCGTCATATCAATGATTACTCGACGGTTATACTATTAGATAAACGTTATCGTCATAAAGTCAAAGTACTACCACAATGGATTCAACGTTCCCTGACGATCAATGATTCATTTGGACCTGTAATTGGTAATGTTGCAAAATTTTTTTCAGCGAAACGAATTAAAACAGTCTAATCTGTGATAATAACAGTGATATGCCAGTAGATCAACTAAAAAGATTATTTACTATTTAATTATTATTTGACACGTTTTAGTGTCATTTGTGTATGTTTAGTTTTTTTGTTTTTTTTTTTAATATAAGATTGATTTTTATATTTAAATACAAATGTTTTTTTGTAATTTAAAGATTCATGTTTTTTACTGATACTTGATATACTATATAATATCGCAACATACTGAATAATTTTTTTATACTAAGTACAAAGAAGATTTAATGTGCTTTTAAGATAATTTAATAATATATCACATATAATTGGCCAATTGAATGCCAAATTTGTAAATTAGGTCGTGACAATAGATTTCTCCGGGCCGTAGAATGGAGCAAGGAAAATGTGCCTGAAAGAAAATTTAATTCACGACTTATAAATCAATGAATATGTCATAAGAATATAATTTTGCAACACTTTAACTTACATAATTAATGGCATTTGGATAGTTTTGCGGTTGAATACTGAAAGCACAATGTTTTACATAGCGAGCACCTTGCTTCCCCAAAAGAAGCGCTGATGATTCAGATATCGCATCTTGTTCTATTCGATCTGTCGTCAATGTTTCTCCCTCATCTTCTTCACGATTCGGACTGTCATCTTGTTTAACAGCAATGTTATTTCCAGTCTACAATTATAATATTTCTTGTAAGAACTTATTGTTAGTAATATTTTTATATATTTTTTCATTGCACAAATTAATATGTTCATTATCGCTATATTTAATTATAAATTGACAGTACCTCAGAAACAGTGTCTGTTGATAAACGGCCACCTGTATAAAACTGTACACCAGGTTGATCGGAATAAACTTCCAAAACGCTGCGTATATATGTATATGATTATTTAGTTTCAGAATATATACTGTACTTATATACTAAATAATTAAAAACCTCTTACCGACCGCTTCCTGGATGGACGGCTCGAGCGACATGTGTGCTACCTCCGTGCCAGTTTGGCGTGATGCAGAAATTATGATCATACCCTTCTCCCGGAGGAACCTATAGCTTACATGAATTTATTACGTTTTCTATCGAAATTATCTATTGTTTAGTGTTAATTTGCTACGCAAAACTAGGGACACCTTCTCGATACAGTTCTCCAGGAACTTCGGTATACGTAGATCCATGATGGTTCCTCCGACTCCTCGAATACTGCCAGTTGGTATCGGATCAGTATAATCCGCGAAGGTCCAACGATCGCAGTTTAATGAGATTTTATGCTTCATCAATTCCTTCTTACCGGCGTCCTACAATACATAAGATGAATAAATATCTGCCGCGCGATTTTCTTATCGAAGCTAGAACCATTCGTCATTCACCATTCTGACTTGAAAAAATAACATGTATTTAATTATATAAAACATTTTTCTTTTTTTTTTCTTTAAACTCTACGAATGATGATTTCAGCTCCAATAATTTACTATTAAAGCATATTATGTTAATTACATGTCCGGCGAGATTGAACAAAGAACCGTGTGAGATGTTGACTATCGTGGAGTCTGTTGTGGTTGCCCGGATACCTATTTCCAGCCTATTATCAGGTGTCAACTTGAATCTCACCGTACTCAACACCGTACCAGGATATCCCTCTTCGCCGTCTTCGCTTAAGTAAGTCATGACGACCGAGCAGCCATCGATATGCGAGTCCCATAATCGTCGACCGAAGCCCTTCTCCTAAAGAAGAAAAATAGAAGAAGACCTTAATTTTCGAATGGAAAATGTGAGACGGACGAACTTACACCTCCGTGCAGATGATGTTTGTCGAGATCATTCCTCGTGAGCTGGTAAGTTTTACCTTTAATGACAATACAGCCATTTCTTATGCGATTCGCGCATCTACCCAGTACGCATCCTACGAATGGATTAATCCTGGGATTTGTGTAGCCTGCAACATAAATCATTTATAAATTAGATTCGAGATAAGATCCAATATCGAATATCATGAATAAATATGTAATTAATTAGTTCGTACTCTTTAAATCGTCAAAACCAAGAACAACATCCGCGATACGTCCGAACTTGTCGGGATATTTTAGCGAAACGATCGTGGCACCCCAAGAAATGACGGTGATCTCTATATGATTCTTATTAATCATCGTATAGGATTTCACTGGTATCAGCCGAGGTCCCTTATCATCGATATGCGAGGATAATTCTGCCTCGTAATATTCTTTACTATCATTGCGGCGTATGTTATCCCCGGGAGATTCTGTAAGAGCCTTTTATATAATCATATGTCAAAAGCCGGACATGAAATAACAAAGTACCGGCAAAAATCTCTCCAAAAACTCCCTCCGTAATTACGATGTCTTTGCAATCGCAATCATAGGTGACCATGTTTGGTATTTTTTTTTTTTTTTTTTTTTTTTTTTTTTTTTTTTTTTTTCTGTCTTAAATTATTTATTTGAGGAAACGTTGATAGAACGATAGATCGAAAATATCCACGCCAGTGCGACGTTCCAACTTAAACGCTTGATGAAGTTGCCGAATCTATACGAGATCTAGTTCGACATAGGAAAATAAACATCCATGAGAGAGATGGAGAGAATCGCACTTAACTTGAAATAGCGAGCGTAGTAAAGCGAGTAATCAGCATTAAGTCGAGAAAGCAGAAAGCAGTCGTGGGAATTGCTTCAAGCGTCTTGCAGATTTGTTGTTGTCACAAATTTGCGCTCCACATCTTGGGAAATTAGCGGGAATTGTGAACACGGAATTATCTTCCTCGAGATTTTAATAATAATAATCACTTCATTCGATAGTCTCATTCATTAACGCTCGAATATTAATTAAAAAATCTCGAACTTTTTTACCCGACACACGTTTCCATTGTAATATCGCGCGCGTCACATATCGCAGCGAGTTTGATGGAGATTGATCGATGCTCGGAATCGCTGCACGACAGATTTATAGCGATGTGCACATTTATCGCGCTGCTATAAATAAAGCTATACATATATCCGCCGTGCAGATGAGATTTTAAAAATTCAGCGAAATCGGCTTCTATATCTCTATTATTTTTTCGATATTAAATCTCATTAAAGCGCGAACGAGGGTGAAAGATACAATAGAACGAAGGGTTGCTTTGGGAAGGAGAGACGAGGAGGTGACTCTCGCGAGAGCTCTTTCCATGCCTTATGCAGCGCCCGTGTTATTGTATTTCAGCCCACTGAGCGGATTGCCTCGGGGCTCGGCTCGAAAAGCCAGGGAAATGAAGAAATTCACTTCGATGTACTCTTCAATTGAAGGCACAAAGGGCGCAAACCGGATGCGAAGCGGCGCAGCGCGTTAGTAAAGAGATAGCGATTTGAGAGCCGCGCAGGAAATCAAAGGCTTTAATCGTTCGATTGGATATACTATCGCGGGTACGCCTCTTTGAAGTAGCACATTACATGGGGAAAAAGAGAGGGGGGGGGGGAGGACATGTCATTTCGCCTATATTACTAAAACGTGATATCAAGCGAAAGTGTATTAGAGATGAACTTCACTTCTTTTAAGTCTCTTTTAAATCTAAGGGCATTTGTTTTAAGAAAATTTCAAGTCTGGATAACGAAATAGCATTGCATCTTTGATCGCGAAGTAAATATAAACTGCGTGATATTTATTGGAATACATTAATGATAGCAACAAGTCGCATAATAAGTTCCTTTTAGTATTTCTATTAAAGTCAATATTTATAAATTTGAGAATATCTTCCCCTCCCTTATACAGGGTGTTCCAGATCAGGTCAATGAAATCTCATTCTAGTTCGTTTTGCCGCCCACGGACGGGAACAAACGTGTTCTGGTATGTTACGCGTGTTCTTTGTTTGGACCTTATTTTTGAGTTTTCATCTCTTCTAAAGAAGATTTTTACATTTATTACTCGCAACCAGATGTTGGCCGGAATGATCTGATCATATCCTAGATCAGAAGCGGCCATTAAAAAGAAGGAAGAAAACAATGAAGTTTCAAGGGTCTTATAGGAAATGAATTTGGAACAAAAAATCGCAATCATAGGTGACCATGTTTGGTATTTTTTTTTTTTTTTTTTTTTTTTTTTTTTTTTTTTTTTTTTTTTTTTTTTTTTTTTTTTTTTTTTTTTTTTTTTTTTTTTTTTTTTTTTTTTTTTTTTTTTTTTTTTTTTTTTTTTTTTTTTTTTTTTTTTTTTTTTTTTTTTTTTTTTTTTTTTTTTTTTTTTTTTTTTTTTTTTTTTTTTTTTTTTTTTTTTTTTTTTTTTTTTATGCTATCTGCCAAATCATATATATGACGTGATATATGACGCGACGAGAATGAAAAATTTTGTCATTGCGGCTTCGCGTTTACATGAAACAATTGTGTGACATTAGTTTTTGCTGACAAAATGATATAAATAATAAATAATAAAATATAAATTATAAATAATGGGTTATAAAATATTATCTCGATTTTTTTATATTTTTTGTTTCAACATTAGAAAATCGCTTTTTTTATTTTTCGCAACATAAACATTGGCCTAACCACAGATAGAAGTATACATATATAAAAGTCTGTGAACCTAACTATAAAAATTATCCTGCAAGTTATATGTATATAGAATTATTTTATAGGAATATGGAAAGCGTGAAATGGTCACTCAAAGAGCTGAAACTTATTGATGCTGTTATTTAAAATTATTTATTAATAATAATAATAATGATAATAATAAAAAAATAATACGGATATAAAATAAAAATAAGTTGAATGCATTATTTGTGATTCATAACGCTATAAAGTGTTACGAACATAATAGTAGTATTATTAGTAATTAATAATAAAATATAATAATAAAGTAATAAAGTTTATTATTATCCTTATTATTATCATTTTATATATACTCTATGTATATATATATAGTTATTATTTATATCATTTATATAATTAATATTTATAGAGTAAAATGTACAATGTTTGGAAAAATACATGAACTTTCAGTGCAGACCAGACACATCAGACACTCAAAATCTTCGTTAAATAATAAAGAACAGTACGTAAAAAAATCGAAGACAGAATATATTATTGCGATATATTTCATTTTTAAATAATCGAGTTCTTGGGGGATCTCTATCATGAAATTAATATTTATATTCGTCTGTATATATAATATTAATAATTTCTCTCTGCTCTCGTAGATAAAAACGATTCTGTGAGACTTCGCCCGTCGTGTTTGGCAATCTATCGTTTAGAAAAATCATCTTTTTAGGTAGATTTCTCCGATTGAAAGTGAATTTTTCCCAAACTCAACTTCGCGAAACCGCCGATGAAAGTTATATTACATTATTTTTTCCGTCGAAAGCGATATATTCGCGATATACATTTTTTTTTCTTCTTTCGTTAAGGCGCGCAACGAAGCGATTCATTATTCTCACTTAAATACACGTGGAACACATTGCACTTAGCTTATCGTTAACATACTTATAAGCTATAGAGTTATTCCATGTTATTCCAAATAAAATGTTTGCGATTTACGAGTTGCGACGTACGCCTTCTACGTTCTCTCTATAGCTATCACGTATTACAAAGGAATACTGAAAAGGAAAAACTTAAAATTTCGCATGTATATATATATATATATA